CTGCCCCCCCCCCCCTGCTCCTCCTGTCCTAGCTCTTTAAAAACAAACAAAGAAGCCTCATCCCCTGCCTCTGTCACTCTGTGCATTGGGGTATGAAATTGGGGGGGGGGGAGCCACATGGCTAACAGAAGGGTGGGAGGGGGAGAGCCATTGAATCTGAAAGGGTGTCCTGTCCGAAAGGCTCTGGTAATTGCCTTTTTATTGTGGCAGCCTCCGGACCAGACGCGGGAGCTGGGGAGACCGGGAAGGCTACAAAACAGCAGGAAAAGTTGCTCTGATTAATATTACGTTAAATTAAAACTGATTTTCTGCTCTTTCTGCTCCATTTTTTTCCATGCGCTTCCCCAGCCCTCTCCGACATCTCCCCCTCCTCCAGCGGGCTCCCCACACGCTGCCCCCTCCCCGCCCCTGTCCCTGCTTGGCTAGGACTGCCTAGTCATTTCCAATTCCTTCTTGTATTGATCTTCCTGTAGAAATCAGTTTTGTAATTAGCTGCAAATTAGGCCTTCTACTGGGGGTGAGCCTGCCCCCTGATTTATCACCAGAGTAATTCGCTGTGATCGGAGAGAAATTAAAATGAACTCAATTAGGCTTCGGATTTGCTTTATGGGCCCTGCTCAGAGTTTCAGGGGGAAAAATGACTGTGCTGGTGCTTAATAGTCTAATGAAAGTAAATAAAGGTTATTCATTGTAATAAACCCAGGGACTCTGGGATGAAGGGAGTCCACAGCCAGCCTCTCCTTCTCTTCCTTTGTTGGTTTATGGCTTGGGGCGGTTTAAAAAGACTTTTGATTTTCATTTTATTAAGACAAACAGCTTTTGGGATAAAAGGCCAGGGGAGCGGGGGAGTAAAGGAAAGGGGGGCAATGCTGCAGAAAACTAGGTTGGAGATGGGATCAAGTCTCAGCTTTGGGCCATAAAGGAAAATGCTCCGTTAAAGCCCAGCCCTGTGGCTTGCTGGTCCCTGGTGTGATGTGAGAGTGCAGGAGTTTCCAAGTAGGGCTGTGTGCTGGTGAACATGCACGGCAGCATTTGCATGGTCATGGCAAGAACACATCTGCACACCTCCAGGTGTGTGTGCAGAGGGAAAGGCAGACATGGGGATTTAGGGAGAGCACGGTGTGCACGTATATGGCAAGTTCACCAGAGGAGGTAGAGCTCATATATACACATGCATCAGCACAGTGATACATTTGTAACTAGAAGGTGCTGTAAAATGTAAATGCGATGTATGTGCAATAACAGGTCAGGGTGAGAACAAGGGGTGAAGAGGGAGAGAGTGATTTCAGTGAGGGCATCTCCCTGCCATCATCCTATGGGTGCCTGTGGGTTCCCATACGAGGCTAGGCCCTCACCTGCTCAGATTTGATGTGTTCTGATGTTTGAAAGACGTCAGGGTAAGAAGGACGCTCAAAAACTCGATCTAAAGCTTCCAGCTGCTGCTGGGTGAAAGTGTCGCCTCGAAGGTGCTTCCGCAAACTGTCCACGCTGCTCTGGGAATCTCCATTGGGAACTGAGCCCTCGGATACATCTGCAGGGCACAGAGAAAACAGGGAGTTAGCACCACCCTGGCTTGGATAAGAAAGGGATGCAGGACAAGGACAGAGGGGGAAAAAGCAGGCCCTCCACCTCCACCCAGGGAGCTGTGCCACTCTTTGGGAAGAGGAGGCTGCAGGGACCCGAGGGAAGCCCCCTTCCTGTCTGCTGGGGCAGCTGGGCTGCTCCCATGGACTCTGTGGGACTCTTCTGCCCAGGATGAGTGAGACTGTGGAGAATGGAGCTCAGCTCAGAGATGAGTTTTGGTTCCAGTGATTTTCTGTGTTAAATATTGCCAAATCTCCATTGCTGAGCATAAAATGGGAGCAAAGCACAGCGATTAGCATCGCTAGAAGGCTACTGGAGAGGCAGCTCACAGAGAAACCAGAGTGCTGAGGATGGACCTGTACTGGAGAGGGCTGAGGAAGCCTGGAATTGAAAGAGGGCTCTCTAACAGCTTTGGAGGGAGTCAGTCTCTGGGGAGTTGTAGCTCCCCAGTCCCAATAGAAGTTACATCTCTTATAATTTCCTTCTTGTCTGATCTTGTCTCATAGCCCAGGTAACAGGGAACCTGTGGCATATGGGGGATCATCTCATTCTCTCAGGAATGATCCTGTTTCTGACTCCACATTTCACCAGAGACAAATCTCTCCCTGTGGAGTGTCTGTCCCATCCAGCATATGTTGGTTTCTGTTACAGTCTCTGTCCCATTCTCCTACGTGTAGCTCACAATTTATCACAACGCATATCTCTCTTATAAAACTCCCTCCAAAATGAGATTGAATCTTTGTCTCTGTCAGTTCCCCTTCCTATCCAAACTGAATTACTGTATTACAAAATCTAGTCCTACTCGGTGGGAATTGGCCTTCCTGGCATTCCTTTGTTCTTACTAGGAAAAAAGCTTTTTTCCGGTAGAAGCCTTGCCAGAAGTGAATCTCTGTCTCTGCAACAGCCCTCTGACAGTCCAATTTCAGTGCAGTGCCTCCTGCCATGTTCCAGGTGCCTCTCTCTATTGTGCTACACCATGTCTCTTACAGCCCACTTATCCCCTCCCAGGTGAGTCCATTATAAATGCCCTGCCCCATCCAAAGTGAATCTTTCCCTGTGATAAACCACTTTATCACTCACCTGGTTTTGGTTTGGTTTGGTTTGTTTTTTTCCCCCTGTTATCCCACACCTCAAATGAGGTGTATTTGTCTCAGTTATAACCCCTTTTTATCTGAAGTGAGTGAGTCTCCTGCTATTAGCATCTGTCACATCCAAGGTGAGGCTGTCTGTTATAACCTCCTGTCCCAGCTGAAGTGAATCTTCCTTTGTCATAATCCTTCATCTCATCTGAGGCAAGTCTGCTCATTATAATCTTCTCCAACTGTGCTGAGTATCTTTCTGCTGTCACCGCTCAGCCTAACTTTGGTGAGACTGGTTATAATGCCCTGTCTCATCCATGCTGATATACCTCCATACCCTCCATGCTGAATCTCTACCTACTGTGCTTCATCAGACACAAGTCTGACTGTCTTATCACCCTTTCTAACCTAAGATCAGGTTCTCACTTTGGCGCCACGATTACCTGCCTGCTTTTCCGCTATTATTCCTCATACTTCAGCCTTCCTTGGTGGCTTCCAGTCTGTGAATCTCAGAAATTTGCTGTCTGTCAAGACAGTGGTTGAAGGGCCTGCATAGATCTTTTCCCTCCTTCATGCAATTGTGAGGTGCTCACGGGCAGATGATGTTTCCAGGAGCCTGGAGTGGTATTCACTGTGCAATGGCCAGAACCATGCCACTCTGCCGCTTCATCTTTTAGCTTGTGGATGGTGCCAAGGGGTATTTTCCTGGCACAGTAATGCCTGACTGGTGGCCCAGAGTTATAACTGAGCCTGCTGCCTTCTGGCTATTAGATATATCCGTTTATAGGTGATTATACGATATGATATAATCAATAGTACATTATATACAGTAACGTAGTACAGTACCACTCGCAAGACCATAGAAAATATTACATATTGATTTGTCCCAGCCAGCAGCCTTCCTTCAAGCAGCCTCTTCTCTGTTTCTTTTCCACTAGCCATAGCAGGGCTGTCCACTGGCACTGATCCCTGGCATTTTGTCCTCTCCTCAGGCTTATTTGCATGAGGGAAAATTCTCAAGTTCCTGAAAGGTGGAGTTCATGACAGATTCAACTAAGAGAAAACAAAGCAAAGACCAGGTTTGGTGGACTGCACACTGTGTGTGTCAGTGCAGTTTTTGTGTTATAGATGGACTGGGCTCTTACTGCAGGGAGTGGCTTTTAGAAGGACTAGGGTAGCTCAAGGCTTGTGCTACCAATTCCAGTAGGGATTTCCCTCTGGTCCTCCCTGCAGAAAGGTGGCACAGAACTGCTGGGTCCAGGCTTGGGAAAAAACCCCAAGTGTTTCTGAATCAGCCCTTGTTTCAACCTGTCTGCAGCCTGTGAAGCTCTTTCTTTGCCTTTGAGGATTTTTCCACGTGTGTCAGTCAGTGTGCATGACTCTGCACACTTTGATGCTAATACATGTGGGTATTTTTGCAGTAGATGATTATTCTTGTACTCTTTAGGTTCTGCAGCACCATACACGCCTGAGCAGCCGTTTGTCCACGGCGACTGATTTAGGCTATATTTGATTTTCCAGAATTGCAACTCTACACTGTGCATGGTGTTTGGTGTGAGTGGACGGGTATTCACTTGTCCTGTCAAACTTCCATTGATTGTCATTAAACCAGATTTTACCCCACTGCATTGCCCTAGGTGGTTACACAGGTTAGTGCATACATGCACATGTGTTTGCAATTCCTGTCTGCCTGCAAAGCCCTGTGCACGTGTGTCTCCCGGGTGTGCACAGGCCGTGCCTTTGTGTGAAGAAGCTGAAACCACAGCTTTCCCAAGCCACTATAGGAGTCTCTTTTCCTTCATTTATTCAGGGGCCCTTCAGATCTTGACAAATCTGTCACTCTAAATTTGCGAGAGATTATGGTGCTCTCTCCCCAGCACGGAGAGAGGTGATATATGATATCTGCTGCCCCTATTGATTGCCTGATCTGGTGGCAGAGGGCTGGCGAAATGAACTTGAAATGAACATCATGCCTCAACTCATTGTGCGTATAATACACTACTTAATCCCACATTTTTGAGCCGCTATGGAATTCAATTGATCAATCATGTCCCTCTGATAGTACTGTTTTAGGGGTTATTGCTGCTCTGCTCACTGACCTTTCTATTTATTTATTTATTTGTGTCAGTGTATGTGTGTGTGCATAAGTGCGTATGTGTATTTGGGAAACTCAGGACCAGCTGATAAGAAAGGACCTGTGTGGTCAGTGGAAAATAAAAGGAAGGGATGAAGGGAGGAGAAACGGAAGGAACAGGGCTAGATAAGAAATTAGAATGATCAAAGCAAGCAAATAGGGAATAGATAGGAAGAGGTGGAAAAGTTGTAAGGAGAAAGGCAACACTTTGGGTGGGAGCTCTGGTTGGGGAGGCGGGGTTCTGCCACGGCCTGGGCTTTAAAATCTATGAAAGAAGAGAAACTTTTGTCAGAGGTCTATAGGCTACCTCACAATGGACCTTGTCTGAATAGCTTACAGTAGTATTGAACTTCATAACGGTAGGGTACACAAATCCCAAACTTCACAGAGCAATAATATGAGCTGTGCATATGGATTTTACTTAGGAAGCAGAAAAAGTTTCACAGAGATGATCCTGAAAGACAGATTTATGTGTCTTGTGTTGCTAACACCGAGGCATTCACAGTCACGGATCACTGTATTTTCTTCAAAACCAAAGGATTGTAAATCCCCTGTGTTTGTCTTCTGGTGTCAAAACCTTTAGAGGATGCATTTTCATTTTTTCCCTGCAACTGCAAGGGATAGACATTTATATCTGGTTTTAGATCAAACCTGAAGTTCTCATCTCAGCATATGGCTGTGAGCTGGACTACCAGGAGAAGCCTCAAATATCATAATACACAAAATATGGGAGCTGACAACTGCGTGGATTTGAGCAAAGGTGGCAGTAAGGAGCAGAGAAGACTTTGGGGAAGAGATGGTGTTCATCAAAGGGCTGTGGATGAAAGTGAAGGGAGGCTCACAGGGAAAAATTTGTGTTGGGAAAGACTAACAGATCTCATAAGGAATGCCACTGAGGTAGGCAACAGTCACTTCAACTGATGAAGAATGGTGCTAGGAGTAAAAGCTTTAGGGATGGGGATTTGCCAAGAAAGCAGCTGTTGGAGAGTTGCTGTGGTGAAACAAGGCTTCAGCTGCACGATGAGTCTGGGGATGCCACCTAGGTAAATGTGCTACTAGTGCCATTAGGGACTATCACCACCTTTCCCAGTTCCCTTTTACTGGCAAGGGAAGCTCTGTGGTACTGTGACACAGGGGCATGTTTCTCTTAAACCAGAAGCATCTCAACAAACAGCTTGAGAGATGAACCATGGCCTCGATCACTGTGTCCCTCACAAGAGCACACCGTTGCTATCAGCATGATCAGGACTGGCCTTGTGCATGTGACAGGAAACATCTCTCCTCCCAAGGGGCTGCCAAGGGAGCACACACAGCTCATGTTCAGTGTAAACCTTCGACACCAGACACAGAAATGCTCCACGGGTGTCACAGAGGTATCCTGACACATAACAAGGAAATGCTGTGCCAGAGGACACAGGAACAACCTGAACTACATCTGAGACAGGAAATATGCCTGTTAAATAGCTGCAAGACAAAGTCTCCATCATGTGCATGCAGCACAAAGCAGTATAATACACTTATTTCCCTGGCTACAGCTGACAGAGAGGACCCTTGCTCAGGGTAGGATGTGGCCATCTCAACAAATAATGCAGAAGTATTGCTGATACAGGAGGACCTTTGTGGCACAGAAACACATAGGAAGATCGTGAGCTGTGCAGCTGGCTCACAAACATGGAGGTACAGTTCTCTTTTGGGGCAGGGGCTGTTACCACCCCCATGACGTCTCTGCCTGCT